ACCAGCAAAGGACCAGTTTAAACCAGCAAAGGACCAGCTTAAACCAGCAAAGATCCAGCTTAAACCAGCATCCCAGCGTCAAAACATACCTAACCAGCATATGCTGGTTTATCTCTGCAGTTACCTGAATATTTCAGTGCTTCCATAAAGTCCTCCCTCTAGTTCCCCATGTATACATATCATTAATACTGTTAAACATGCAGTCAAATATCCACTTCTACAGTGAGAAAGACAATTCAGTCTGCATTATGAGGCACGATGGCAGTTCTAGTGAGGCCAGATCTCAGTCGGGTGTGTTTTTAGGACACTGTTTTGCTAGCGGTGGTCTAAGTGAGGGGATGTGTCAGCTCTTGTCATGTGGGTGTTAGATGAACTCCCTATGGAGACAGACGCGCTAATGCTCGTGTACACTGCATTCCAGCAGCCAGAAGCCGAACATAGTTGTGCATCAGAGCACACATCCAGAGTCACTCTTATTTACATGACTGTGAGAACAGGCTCTGCAGAGGCAACGCAATGGACACAACTGAAAAATATGAGGCTGCAAACACCTTAAATGTACTGGTTTGTGTTATGCAACTACCTGATTAAGATGTAATGGTCTCACTGCATTAAAACTTAATCAAATCATATGATCTGCATACCAAAAAGAGCTAAACTGATTTTAAGTTGTGTCACTTCCTTCTGAAGTTTTTTGTTTGTTTGTTTGTTTTTTTAAGGGTATGTTCGGAATGCAGTAATACTTGCTTAATGCACTGGGGATTAAAAAATCTTTATGCAATGATCACTCAAACTGTCCTACAGCTAGGGGTGTGTGATATTGACAAAAAAAATGATATCTCGATTGGGATTTTTTCGATAACAATAAATAAACAATATTCCGCTGAGTGTGTTTTTGTGCTGGTACCTTGGCTGGTTTAAGCCTGTCATGGATAAATAAAAATGACACTAAAATGCCAGTAGGTGGCGGCAAGTCCCCGTCTTAATGAGTGATTCACTGAATCGTTCATTCAAATTATGTGATCAAAATGGCTGATTCATTTATAAACAAAGCAAATGACTGACTTATGTATGGATAATTGAGTGAGTCATTGACGCAAATTATTTGCTCAAAAACAATGAAAAATACGTGTCAACAATAATGAAAAGGAAAATTGTTTTAAAAATCTAATTTAAAATGCATGTGCAAAGTTCTTGTACATTTTTTATCCATGTTGTTTTTATGCAGTTTTCAACAAATGTTTAAATTTAAAAACTCTAAAAATGCCATGTGGTGCAATCATCAAGTAAATCATTACATATTTTTCCTTACACATTGAATACATGCAAGTGTACGTATTAATCAGTATTTTTCAAAAAGGTTTTTCAATATATTTTTTCAAGGTATAAAGTATTTTTACAAATATCAACACTGAATCACATAATTATAATAAAGTGTTTTGGGGATTGTTGTATCATTACATTTTACAATCCATTACTACATTACTTTGTTGGTTGCACCACATGACTTCGATCTGGCTGACAATTTTTTTTCAAAAAATTATACTAGGTTGTATCAAAACTGCATCACAGCTTATTATTTTCTAGAAGATAATAATATAGATTATGCCACACTATTTAACAGAGTTCCCTTTCATGGGAACTTCGAACTGCGTCCTCTAGGGGTCGCTATGGGGAACGCCTCGTCGTGAAAAAACACCAACTGAGATCCTTTAATCAGGCTTTTTCTTTATTATGATTTCAAAACTGTTCGACCACCCTCATTTTTTTTCTTTATTCCCTGCGAATAATCAGAAGATTGCATTGTTTTATCTCTGTTGTATACTGCACAATTTGGTAAATGTATAAGTTATCCAGGTTTTCAATGCACGCACAAAATGTGCATACTGTGCCCAGTACACATACTGTCCAAACCCATAGCAGCTCTAATATGTGGTCATTTTAGTATGTCTGCTTGGAAGGCTAAATTAAATGTGTCAATAACTACCGTATAACTGAACGGCTGGCATGTCAGGCTTCACGAATGGAAGAAAACAGCTATTAGATCCATCTGTAAAAGGCATTCCTCTTGAGCAGTGGAAGGTAGCACACACTGTCCCCTCCGTTTGCTCTTTCAGCTGAATCTGCATTGTGCTGACTTACATACCATGACTTCACCATCTGACAGAATGGAAAGGGCCACTGCGGGCAGACGGCACTAACCCACAGAACACCAGTAAAATGTGCGCACATACACAAACACATATCCCTGCATGCACACACAACAGGGAAAAACATTACTGGGAATAATTGTGGCAGTGCACTTATTAAAATACTATCAAGTCTGCCCTTTAATGTGTTGATGGGAATTCCACTGATGTTAAATATATTCATAATAGGTCTGCCTCAGACACCATCAATTTCTACATACTACTACATACATTTCAAGCTGTGTATTATGAATAAACGTGAATATATATATATATATATATATATATATTTTTTTTTTTAGAAATCTCCTATGCTAATCAAGGCTGCATTTATTTGATCAAAAATGCAGTAAATTAGTTATTTAAATAAATAATAATAATAATTTTAAAAATAACCAGCTATTTAAAAAAAAATACTTGTTTTCTATTTTTAAATATTTTAAAATTTAAATTTATTCCTGTGATGGCAAAGCTACATTTTTACTCCAGTTACTCCAGCATTCAGTGTCACTTGATCTTACAGAAATCATCCATTTTTTCAGGATTCTTTGATGAATAGAAAGTTCAATGAACAGCATTTATTTAAAATAGATTTTTTTTGTAACATTATAAATGTTTTTACTGTTGCTTTTATTGAATTTATTTAGAATGATTTCTGAAGGATCATGTGATGCTGAAGACTGATGAAAATTCAGCTTTGCCATCAAAAGGAATAAATTACATTTCATGATATAAACAGTTATTTTAAATTGTAATAATATTTTACAATATTACTGCTTTGCTGTATATTGATCAAATAAATGCGTAATAAATCCAAATCAGTAAAAAAAAAAAAAAAAAAAAACTTCTGTTAGTTACTTTAACTTTATTCTGGGAGGGAGAAATATTGAATAAGTTAATTTGATTGCACTTAACATGGTTTGATTCAGTTCCCATCATGCACAGTGGCTCAAACGGATAATGAGAATGACTGAATTACTGCTTTGTTATTCCTACTCGTTACAATTAATTACTTTGAGCTTTAGAGTTTACAGTGATATATTTAAAAAAGACAATCACATGCCTAATCATACATGAGAAACTGATTTAGTTTTCATGTTTGGAGCCAATTTGATGAACTTAAGTCACAGTCTACACCCTTTATTATCATTAAAACTTTGAATGTGTTTTTATAGGGGAGTCCAAGACACAGTCCGCTAGCTATATGACCAAGAAAAACAGATCCCAGACATGAAGCGTGCAGTTTGCTGTTGTTGCTGTAGAGAGCTTCCAGCTATCAGACCAAACAAAAGGAAGCTGATGTCAGTGAGGAAACAGAGGGAAAGCTGAGAGCTGAACGTAACGGACTTAATTGCCACCCTATACAAAGAAAACCAGGAAGGAACCCCCATCTGATAAGCAGACATTAGGCCTGTTAGCTGCATGGCAATCTCAGAAAACAATGTTTCCCACCATCTCTCATGGGCTTAACCTTTCCCCACGCTGCAAACACGCTCCCAGTAAAGACACTGCTTCACGAAAGACTGCCAAAA